TACAGCTGCTGAAAATAAAAAATAAAATAAATAAATAAACTTACAGCTGCTTACGAAAAGATACTCCAAGTGGTGAAATCCAGGCACCTTTCACTTTAGAAACTTAGCTAGAATTCTTGAAAGAGAAGCACCTGTGTATGTGTGTGTGTATGTGTGTGTGTGTGCGTAACAGATCATAAGATGTGTCCTCTTGATTGCCTTCTATCAGATGTAGACAGGTTGGGCCACCCACTAGCAACCATTCCTGTTCCCCCAATAGAAATCCAATGACATCTGAGCCGTTCACATCGCCAATCTGAATCCCAAAATCCAAGAGTCGCCAGGAGCCTTAAGTGTCACCTCATCTACTGTTCTGGCCCAGTGCTTAAGACTTAAATTTGTCTGAAATTTTGAAACAGAAATTCTCATTAACCTGAGTTTGGAGTCATTATTTCTCTTTAATTTGAATGGGGGCATTCCAGAAAGTTTGGCTTTAACCAAACTATTTTAAATGATCTCAGTTGATGGACTCAGGGTAATGGGTCCAGATGAAAGAATACGCTCGCCCCAGCTGGACAGCAGTTTCTTCCTACTGGCTGACAGATTCTCCTCCATGATGGCCGCGGGCGGACAGTAACTAACAGCCCTTGCTGCACAAAGAACCACTGTAGACAGTTACACTGAGAGGGGACACTGGAGCTGGTGTAGGTGAACTCTGGCTGGGAAAGAACTGAAAAGCCCACTGGCATTTTTATAACTTATAGGACATGACCGTGTAGCTCATTAATCAATGGCCACTGAACATTTCAATGATTTCCATCTGAGGAGCAGAAGACTGAACACAAAGAGAACTTAATGGGGTGAGCATCTTTTTATACCGGGCAGACCCCACTGAGGTGCCCTGAGTAGCCAGCAAATAAGGAACATATCTGATCACAAGACAGGAAAGCAGGCACAACTGATGTGTGTGTGCTACTTCTGAGTCCCCTTAGGGACGATGTGCTATAATACTGAGTCTACATGACAGAGGACACCTCTAATAACAAAGAAGTGCTTAGGAAGGAATGGTGTGCTTCCCTTTTGATGCCACCTCTGTCCCCATTGAGCAACTGGATCACAAAAGTCAATCAGCAGGAGAAAAAATAGTCAATCAGCAGGGAGAAATAAGATGAGTGACTAGAAGGAGCGTGTGGGAAGGTAGAATCAGAGAATTTTCTGAACACGGCAGAATTATCTATCTTGAAGTAAGAGAAATGGCAGGCAAGGATCTGGACCCAGCCTTTTCAGCTCTTCGGTGATGTGAAGAAGAGAATTTTCTGGATAAGAAAACTGCTCATCACCATAAGCAGGCCGTTATCTTTTAAAAGAATTCTTGTTCTGTGCTGGGGTTGGGCCAGAAACAGATTCTTTTTTTTCTGTGGCAGGTAAACTGAAGAGTTCATTTTCCCACTTAGATATTTAGTATTTATTCCTATTATTTCTATTGTCATAGATTGCTTCATAGTCAGAAAACCTAAGAAGTCACAATCGTTCTAAATCCTATTTGTAAAATGGAAAAGGGGTAGAGAGTAAAGGAGCCAGGAAGATCAGCTGAGGTTTTCCAGAGTTTGATAAACAGGAAAACAAAGAGCAAGAGGGTAAGTGACGGGCTCCTGACAATGACAGGCTGGTGGCAGTTGGTGGCTTGGGTCCAGTCTTTCTAAAAAAGTGAGCCGAGAACAGCTAGGCACCAAATTTAGTCTAAGGCGTGTGTTCGCCTCACACCAGCTGGGAACTAATCCTCAGTTATGTCCCTCGCCCAGGCTGCGGTGTGGAAATGGGGAGACGGGGAGACGGGAAGACGGGGAAGGGAGAATGCAGACAAGTGGCACAGGCCACAGGTGACTTTAGGGTTTTTTTTTTGTTGTTGTTGTTGTTGTTGTTTTAAGATGGGCTTCTGTTCTTTTAAAAACGAACTAAAATTTAGAAAATCATGTGAACTCCAGAGAGCTGGCCCCTCGAGCCCCTGGCAATGCTGGGATGGTGCATGGGCTCTGGGGGAGGTTTTCATTGTTTGCTTTGGTTTTTCAATGATGTGAGAAGTTCCACTGTATCTTAATTTATTCCAGAAGACTTTTATACTCAGGGGCACAGGAAACGGGGCCGAAAGACCCACAATGCCGGAGAGACCCTTTCTCTCTACCGGATGACCCTTTGTCCTGATGACAGGGCCTCAGAAACTGCAGAGCCCCATCCAAACAGCTTCACACTCCCAGGTAACTTGGGGAGAACCGTTGCAAGTACTCTGAAACAGCTTTCTCATTTGCTCTGCCTCAAAACGATCACCTTTTTGTACTTCGAAATGGACCGGTAAACTCTGGACAGAGTGACTTGAGGTAAAGCTTAGCTCCTGAGGGTGGACGACCAAGGGGCAGGCGGTCAGTTCCTCAGAAGAGTGCCTCCCTGCTTCGCAGCCACCTGCCACTGTGCTGCTGTCCAGTACAGCATCACAGTGATTCTGGGTCCCCTAGGGAAAGCTGGGCGCGTCTACTTGAGTCTCTGCTCTCAAGGGGCCTCCGAGAGTGCACTCACCGGTCGGCCCACAGGCTTAATTAAGCACACGGGGCTTCAGGGGGACAATCCCTGGCTATCAGCTGTCCCTGGCCAGCTCTGGCTTCCTCCTCTCTCCTTCCTACGTATTAATGAACACAACTGCAAACCTCCTGGGTGGAGTGAGGCAAATTTCAATCTCCCATCTCCCACTGAGCAACCACGCTAACTTCATTCCCCAACAATACAGACCGCTGCTCTGTGCATCAGGCCCAGGCCCAGACCCAGAAGTAACCAGAATCCTCCCCCAGCAGCTAGCTGGGACCTCTGGCGAAGCCACAGTTGAAAGGGCAATACTTACTGGCAATGGAGGTCAAATGAAATAGTCCTAATATACTAGCAGCCATATATAACAGCATAAAATATCAGCTAAACTGAGAAAAGTACTTGTGGTTCAAGAAATATTTAAATAGCCGTTTTTACTTCTTCATAGACCATGATCTACATGGAGGAAAAGAGGACGAGAAGGCCGAAGTTAGGGGCCTCTGACACGGCAGCTCAAACAAACAGGAGCTGGGTGCGCGCATCTTTCGGGAACACCTCTTTCAAGGCTGAATCAATAGAGATGAACCATGAAGTCTTTTTCACATCCATTGAGATAACGAAGCGAGTTGATTTTTTTGTTTAGACGCTACTACACCTCTGAGACCTCCAAATCTGTGCTTTGAGAAGCAGAACACCTAAACCACGAAGTGCTCCCCTCATGTGCTGATAAGAAAGACATGGGGGAGGGGGAGTAGAGACAGGAAAAAGAACAAAGAGACTACGAAATGGAAATTATGCAAATATATGACTTTTCAAAGCAATTCACAGATATTTTTCCTGGGAGATTCGGTGACAGCTAAGGGGAGAGGGAATCATTTAAAATTTTCCATTCTGATTATTCCAATTTCATTTTAAAAGCCTTTTTCATGGACTCTAAGATGCTACTGATTTTTAAAGGTCTCATCATTTTATGTACTCTAAGAAGTAAATATTGTCATTTAAACAAAGACAAAAATCACACTCATTGTAAGCATCCCAATTTTAGGGATATTAAAAGCAAAAAAAGGACTCTGAGAAATAACTAAATATGGTAATGTTATTAAAACAATTCTATTATAGCACCAGGCTTCTGGAAATTTAACTTAATTGGCTTCACATATCTGCTATTTTCAGCCTGCAAATAAATGTATCCAATAGTACAGCTGATGCATGTTTTTCATCTCTCCTTGTGGATATTAGCAGCTATCTTAGAATTCTGTTGACTACATTTTACAGAAAAACCTTTTAAATTGCAATTTTTCAACTAGCGTTATCTTCTGAAAACGAAATTATAATAAAGGAATTAAACTATTAAAAAAGAACTATGAGGGAGTATTTGAGATCTTGCTCCCCTGGCATGTGTTATCAATTTGGCTCAAACTCATAAAAATTCTAAAAATAAAAAAAATAAGTAAAAAATAAATAGAGGTATGAGCTGCATCCTCTGGAATACGGGAACTCTGGGACCGTTTATCTCCTGCAGAGAGCACTCAGAGCCCCGGCCACCTGCTTCTGTCCCTCACAGCGTCATCCTCCTCTAGCCTGCCTGAGGAATGCTGGTTTCTTGAAAAAAGTCTCATTTCTATCCGGGGAAGGAGGAGTTCTCAAGCAGCTACTACAGGTGACACGTTCTGTTCCAATCTCAGGAATTCCCTATCTCTCAGGAGTAGTGACGGTGACGGTGACGGTGACGGTGTGGGGGGTAGTTGAGGTTCCAGAATACTCTCAGGCCAGGCACATGCAGGTAGTTGTTCATCCACCCCTCTCGTCCAGAGTGGACGTACCCAATTCCCTCTGCCCAAGAAGCAGACACGGGCTTGGCACTCCCTTAACTGAAATACAAATGTTCTTCGAGGGAACGCTTCAGGTGACCCAGCCTCCCATACCCCAGGGCCTCGCCCTGCCATGAACATGCAACTGTCTGTCCACTTACAGTACAACCTGGAGCTACGTCTCCAATGGAGCCCCGACATCTACCCCCAGTTCTCTCTCTGCTGAGATCCTGAAGTTCTAGCACTGTGTCCTCACAACTGACAAACACCACCGGCAAACAAAGGACATACCTCTCACCTAACCCATGTTGGGGCCTGTGGAACTGCCCTGTTAGTCACAGGACACTGCCAGCTGGTTTAAATATGGCCATGTCTGGGCAAGAGAAAAAGGACTTGTGGCACATTTATAATCAC